ATATAGGCCTATTCGCCATCTATTGAGTGGGCAACCCTTGCAGTATAAAATGACGTAGGAAAGTTAAAAATAAAATAATATATAATATAAACTTTACAAACCTAAATGACTGTCTGTCAAGAGCCAAAAATTGAAGCATTTTAATTCTATATTTGAATTGCTTAATTCGTATAATTAAGTATATTTATCAGCCTAACTTACAATACCCCGGTGTACGGGTCCATCTCACAGCCATTGTGCTGACCGTTTGGCTCCAGCGTGAGCGTTGGTCAGTACGCATACAAGGTCTTTTTCTTGATCTGTTAACTTATCTGATCCTTTTAAATAAGCTGTTCAAAATATTTTAGTTGAATTTTTGAGATTTGTTTCTATTTATTTGGCATATACGGTATTTAATATGCCTCTGCATCCACACTATCTAATTTGATATGACAAATTTGTGTGATGTGTCTATATATAGGCCTAGTTATGATAATGTCATTTTACACCCAATGAGCATACCGTAAAAACCTCGAATCGAAGTTTTTGTTTTTTGTTTGCTTGTTTGTTTGTTTTTTGTTTTTTTTGTGTTTTTTTTTTGTTTTTTTTTTGTTTTTTTTTTTTTGTCGAACTTTTGATGGGCTTCTTTTTAAGATGGGCTTCTTTTCGAGGCCACTTTTACAAATTAAAGAGGCGACTTCTTTTCAAAGTGAATGCTGTAAATTTTGGGAATCAGTACTATGAAACAATAAATAGTGCCACTGTAACATCAATCTGTATGCAGATACAGATACAGATTGGAGTGTATTAACCGGCAATAAATCACCTAAACTACTGTATAATCAAACATGTTTTTTAAAATTTATTTTATTTCTTTGAAATTTATGTACAGTATGCAGGCCTACTGTAGGCCTACTATCGCGAAAATAAGCTTATGCTATGTTGAGCTTCTTTCGAGGCTAATTTGGCAAACTGAAGAGGTGGGCTTCAATTGGAGATGGGCTTCAACTCGAGATTAAGCCCATTGGGCTTCACTTCGAGGTTTTACGGCATCACATTTACTTCTTATAAAAAAAATACTCATACTCTAGATGTGTATAAGAGACAGGTCTTGCTTTTCTTAGCCTTGTGAGGGCAGTATAAGCGAACAAACCCCGACGACACAAACCCTGAACAAAACAAAACCAGGCTCTGCCAGGGTTGCCATTTGGCCTTTTTGACGGCCAGATTCCTCAAATCTGGCCGTATAAAAATTTGCCTGGCCGTAACATTTGAAAAGTCACGCCAAACTATATTTGGCCGAATTTGGCCGAATTTTTGAAAAGTTTACATTTTTTCCAATATAGGCCTAATATAACGTAGACTTGTTTTGGATATTTTGTTTCTGTTTTGCTTAAATTCTATATTTGATTCTAATCTTACCTTTGTTTGTACTTGCACTAAACACTAAAATCTATGTTCTCCGATTCAGCCGATTTGACGTAAGAGAGTTTATTTAAAAGATAGCAGTTACATTTAATAATTTAAATTATTCGGATGAAATATATTGTTTATGAAGTTTATCCTCGTTTAAGCTTTATGAAGGCAGTTCATTGCAAGTTTGTACCATATGTGTGTCTTTGTATATGTTCCATCTTACTAGTGGAGGTTCCATCTCTTTTGAATTTCTTTTGATTATAAATTAAATACTGTACTTTTTAATAATTAATTTATTATTGCCCACTTGAATTGTATAGCCCTAGGTGCTGCAGTGTTCTTTATGTAGAGCGCCATATATATGCTCGATGTAATCATACGGGTCCGATGGCACCTCCAATTTCAAGCAAGTGTTGCAGAGACTTCTTCGAAGTTACTCTGGAGTTGTATAATTATGAGAATGAAGAAGATAATTCGGTTTTTACCGGGCCGACCAAGCCGTCGTACCGGGCTGGGTAATAAGAGAAAAGAAAGAGGGGAGAGGGAGGGAAAGAGAAAGAAGAGGAAAAGAAAAGGAAAGAAAAAGAGAAGAGAAAAATAAGG